CTCCTCTCCCCCCCTCACCTCACCTCACCTCACCTCACCTCACCTCACCTCACCTCACTACAGAGGAGGACAAAAGTCGAGAGACAAAACTTTGTCCAGCAGTGGAAAGATCTCTGCAGGTTTTTGGAAATTCAGAAGGAGCATGTGTTGTGGTGGCTGGAAGGTTTGGCTGCAGACATTGTCAAGGGCTTGGAGGATGGACTTTCTGGAACTTCCGCTCAAACTCATCTGCCCTGCAGGAATGACCAGTCCGGATCCCCGCAGGTGAGATGTGGGCTATGCCAGTCGCGAGATCGGGAGATCTCTTTGGTTAGTTGCCTGCACAAATGGGCTGCCCAGGCAAAATGTGGGGTAGTGGTTAAGAGTGGTCTGGGATTCAGGGGATCTGGGTTCAAGTCTACACTGGGCCAACTGGGTGACTTCAGGCCAATCGCAGACTCTCAGCCCTGCCTACCTCGCAAGACTGCTGTTGTGGGGATGAGAGGAGGAAGAGAATGATGTAAACTGCCCTGAATTCCTTGGAAGTAAAACAGCAGATTATAAATATATAATACATAAATAAAAGCAACACAAGAAACTGGAGATTTAGTTGTTTGGTGGTGTATGTATTCATTTTATGAAGTGCTCTGCAGCCAAAGAGGAACAGATGAACCACGTATAGTGAAAGCAGTAGCAAACCATCAAAACGATGCTTTCAAACATTGTAAAAGCAGTGAACGACAATTTAAAATCATTTCCTAAGGAGAGGTTCAGTATTCAAGAAACTAAAGCTTGGAAAAAGAGGATTTCCAAAATGCAGCATTCAGTCTATCAAGATGAGGAGAGAAGAAGCCCTTGAAAAAATGACTGGTCTCCAGAAGTCAACCAAACAGGCACCCGGTCACTCTAAGAAGGCTGTTCTACAGATCTGGGGCCTCCACAGAAAAGACCCCGTAAGCCTCTGAGGGTGATCTCTGGGTGCAGGGAGCCCTTTGGGTGCTGTGCCCCTCCGGCCATATTTGTCTACTTCTGAGGAGAACAGGCAGATGGGCTGTGCAGAGAGAGGCTGTCAAATGTTTTGGGGCGGGCAATTTGCAGACTGCGCCTCCAATTTTAAATATGAAAAATAAGGCATTTTGGGGGCTGTATCGTGCTTCATAACCAACAATTTTCAATCCACCAAAAGAATCAAATTTGGTGTTGCAGACGAGCTAAATTTTACCCGTTTAGTGCTATGGAGAGTTTAACCAGCATATCCCTGGTTCTTGTGTTGTTGTTGTTTGGAGTGTGGCCTACACAATGATCTCCAGACAACCCCCATCTTTGGTCCCTGACTTATTTGGACCCACAAGAAGGTGTGGAAAGCCACATCTTGCACAGGATGAAGCGGGTCGCTGTTTTTGTGTGTTGTCAAAGCAGTTCTTGCTACTTTATAATCAAGCCCTCCTCCTTTTCCCTCCGTCGAGGTTGTCCCGAGCTCTGACAGTCGGGAAGGTTCTGCATCCCCAGCGGCACAAGGCAGCTTTTTGGAGGTAGAGTTGAGCCTTCGCCATTTCTCGGCGAGGAGGCCCATCCTGGATAAGGCCCTGAGCAGCTTCAAAGGTGAGCGGGGGCCTCACGGGTGTGGGGCTGTGGGGTGGTGGCGAAGAAGGCGGGGCAGGAACGCCGGAGATCCCAGTTCGAGTCCCCGTTCAGCCATGGAGCCGACTGGGTGGCTTCAGGCCAGAGGCTCAGCCTGGCCTGCCTCACAGGGTTGTTGTTGTGGGGATAAGATGGAGGGCCGCAGCAGGAGGTGCAGTACGAAAGCCTTCCTGGAAGTAAAAGGGACAGGATGTAAATATCCTTTTTAAAAACCTGGGGCTTATCTTCCCTCAGTGATGCCATGGGTCTGCGGGTCATGGATGCTATGGCTGGTCGCTCTTTCCTGCCAAGCCAGCTTCTTGGAATTTGTAACCCTAGAGGTCATCTAGTCCAGCTCTCTGCTCAGCAGCCAGACAGAGCTGCAGCGTCTCAGGCAGAGGGCAAGCCAGCCTGTGCTTAAATACGGGAGCCCACCTCATTCTTGGCAGAAGGGCCTTCTTGATCACCAGTCGTCAGAGGCAGTGTGGTCTAGTGGTTAGAGCAGCCTTTTCCCAACGTGTTGTCTTCTAGAAGTTTTGGGCTGCAACCCCTAGTATTCCTGACCAGAGGCCCTGCTGGCTGGGACTCATGGGAACTGGAACCCAAGGCCATTTGGGGAAGGGTTAGGGTTAGCAAACTAAGAATGGGGAAACCTTGCTTGGATGGAGAACTGGGTCACTTGGGCAAGTCACTCTCTCTAGGTCTAACCTGCCTTGCAAAGTTGTTGGGAAGATATTATAGGTGGCTGGGTGGGGCCTGGATCTGCATCTACCTGCTATGATCCTCGGAGGTGAGGTGGGATAGAAACTTGGTCTAATACAAATGTTAAAATTTAAATGTCTTTCTTCCATGGATAAAGGCCTGAATGGTCTCTTGTTTTTCCCTCACCTATATCTATTTTAGAGTTGCTGAAGTCAGAACTGAGGATCCTCACAGGTATGTACCTGCCTCTAACAGAGCCAAACGTTTATTTCGTCTGCAATTAAGTATAGATAATTCCTTGACCATCCCCATAAGCCGAGCTCCTGGTGGAGAACAAACATGCCTGCTGACCATTGCAGAAACATGCTGCCCTGCAGATGTTCTGGACTACAGCACCCACAATCCCTGACCATTGGCCATGCTGGCAGGGGCTGATGGGAACTATTTTTCTTTCCTTATAGTGCGTCTCTACTGAATTTTTAAAATTCCTTAGCGGCACACATTAAAAAGTACGTGTAACATAACAATAACATAAAACAAATATTTTTATTTTTTATTTAAATAACATATTTACTTATGAAATATAATTAAATAAATGTAAAATAAACCATTACAAAGTTTAGGGCAAGAATAACGATCGGACAGGGCACTGGCATAATCGCTTGCAGGTCAGGGAGCACAAGCAGCACTGGAAACTTTTCGTGGGTCTTTCTGCCTCCCAAAACACTTATGGGAGGATATGTCAGAGGCTGGGCGCCAGCACCAAAAAGGCCCTTTCGCCTGCTATTGCCTGGTGCTGTTTTATTGGTCACGGAGCAACTAGTGAGGACTTGCCAGAAGGAATTGGCTGGCTGTACAGAAAGGAAGGGGGCTGCTAGCCCAGCATTTCTGGAGAGCTTCAGGTTGACTACCCCCTCGTTTAAAAGTACTCCCCAGGACCAAAATCGGGAGCCTTCCCTGCTCCTTGCCACGGGAACTATCCTTGTGAAATGGACTTTTCCCCCCATTCCTTTGATGGATGGCCTTGGAGGTAGTTGTTTTTATTTGTTTTTCGGCACCAGCCTAAGACCTTTTTATTTAAACAATATTTTAACAGTGTTTAATATTATCTATAGGTTTTAACTTCCAGCCAGAATGAATCAGGGTTTTTAATTTGTGTAATTTGTATTTTTTGCATTTGTATTGGGCACTATGTTGTCTATTTATGTTTATTTATGTCAGCTGTCCCGAGGCGTTAAGCGATGGGATGGCATATAAAAACTCCAAATAAATAAATAAATTAAATAAATAGTTCTGGAGTTCTTCAGAGGTGGAATCCATTCAAAGGGTGACCAGCAAAGTAATATTTTAAGAATGGGATCAATCTTGACTCTAATGTTTAGTAAGCCAGGTACTTATCCATTGCCCAGAAAAGAAGGGCAAGTGTCACCCCAAAGACAAAAGTGGGCACCAATTTGCATACAAATTGCCTATGCTAATTAACTCCACCCACCACCAGATTGCATCATTTCACACCCCCTCCCTCAAAATTTTTTGCTTTGTGTATTATACAGGCCATAAGGGGGATAAGGGCCAGACCCTTTGCAGAGGATGACATCTGCTCAAAATCTGCTCAAAAGCTATTAATATCTATTGCAGTTTTAGGAATAGCTACTCGTACCAGGATTTTTATTTTTCATCCAGATCTTATTCATGTTTAAAGAGAAAATAGCCAGCTATGCCAAAGCATCCTGGGAATTGTAGCCTGTTTTCCTGTCCAAACATGCATGGAATTTATATGCCTGCGGCATGCTGGGTATTGTAATTTAAACATGCATCACATCAAGCCTCAAGTTACTTAAATTGCTCTCCATCCAGAATCAGAAAATTCCTCTGAAATTAAATGAATTCTCCCCCTTTCTTTAGCCCATGCAGCGACTCTGCAAAAGACTCTGCTGCAGATCATGCCATCTACAGTTGGCGCGATTCTTGAGGTGCTCGCCTCCGATGCAAATTTATTTTTATTATTATATTATATTATTTATTATTATAATAAATAACTATTTATTAAAATAAAATAGTTTATTCCTGCCACCGTCTAGTCGCAATCTGAGACTCACAGCTGCTACTAGCGCTGTGCTTCTCTGCTACTTGCAATATGCTTGTAAACGCCGGGAAGGAGAAATGAAGTGCCACATGCATTGCTCAAGGCCCCGTCCTTGCAGCTTCCCCGTTTGATCACAAGTCGCTTCTTGCAGGCTGCAGAACCGCCGCTGCGTCTGACTTGGCCGCATTTCCTCCTAAACAAGGTAGAGCAGACGTGAACGCAGGAGAGGTGCTTCAGGTAGGGGGTTTCCTCATGCCACGGGGTGAGTGGCCAGTCCGGGAGGCCGGGCTGTGACGGAAAGAGGACCTCTGCCTAGAGAGGTGCCTGGGGGGGGGGGGGGGGGCTTTCCCACACTAGAGACGTTCAAGGGGAAACTGGGCAGCCATCTGAGCGGGACGGTGCAACCTGGTGTCCTGCAATAGCAGGGGTTGGACTCGATGGGCTTCACGGCCCCTTCCGACTCTACTATGATTCTATGGTTCTCTTTCGCCATGTTCTCAAGACCGGGCAGAGCCCTCGGAAGACTCCCTCAGAGGGTCCCCTCCTGTGTTGAGTCTGCCTTCTCCCTGCCTTGGCAAGCAGCCATTCACGGCCCTCGTCCTCTTCTGCATCGGGGGTCCCGCTCGCCTGCTTAGCAAGGCGGGTGTGACGTCTCTCGCTTCTCCCCTGCTCCAGAAGAAGAAGCGGGTTGCGATGGTGAGGAGGAGGAGCAGGGCTTGCCGCTGGGGCGCTTCTGGGGTGTGGGTCACTGGCAGATGCCCAGAGGTGCCTACTCTCGGTGCCGTCTTTCAGCTACCTGAGACTCGGAAGCACATTAGAAAAGCCCTGCTGGGTCAGACCAGGGGGCCATCCAGTCCAGCACTCAGGACACACGGTGGCAAACCGGCTGCCCCCAGGATCCCTCCAGCAGGAGGGGTGCAGGCCCTCCAGCTGCCCCGCTCCTCAGCAATGGGCTTGTGCTGGCAGGCCGCCTCTGGGGAAGGAGGGCGCACGTGGCCAGCAGGGCTATTAGCCACGGAGGGCCTCCCCTGCTGTGAATCTGCCCAATCCCCTTTTAAAGCGATCAGATTAGTGGCCGTTACCACTTCACATTGGGTGAAGAAGTCCTTCCTCTCATCTGTCCTAAACTCCCACCCGTCAGCTGCACGGGTTGACCCTGGGTTCAAGTATTAGGGGAGAGGGATTAAAATCTCTCCTCTTCCCCTTTCTCCATACTGTGCATCATTTTAAACCCCTCCATCCTGTCTCCTTGTACTCCATGTTTTTCTAAGCTGTGCATCCCCTGTTGCTGTGGCCGTTCCTCCCAGGGGAGCTGGGCCAGGCCCCTGAGCATCTCCGTCGCCCTTCTCAGTCCTTCTTCCAGCTCAGTAAAAGTGTCGTGTTTCCAGGGCCTGCTGATGTTTGAGGATCTGGCAGTGCACTTTACGGAAGAAGAGTGGTCCCTTCTGGATGGACCCCAGAGGGCCCTCTACAGGGAAGTGATGCGAGAGAACTACGGGCATACAACCGCCCTGGGTAAGCGTTTGCCCTGCCGCTTTCTCTGTCGTGGGAGCCGGCCTGGGCTGAACTGCCCAAAACGGTCACCATCACATTCAGATGCTTCTGGGTCATCCACCAGCAGTTAGGTTGAGATACCTGTTGCTTGATATTTGTCCCCCAGAATTTGGGATTTAGAGGTACACTACTCCTGCACGTGGAAGCTCCATTTAGTCACGGCAGTCAACAGATCTATAAACCATCCAGGGTGTTTTAGCTATGGGACAATATAGAAATACATTAATACATATCAGAAATACATAAATAATAGCTTTCCCTGTTATATCTCCCAATTCCTTTTATTTCTAATGTCATTGCAAAGTGGGATGCCCTTGTTGGAATGCCTTCACTGTGGAGTCTTGGTAAGGAGCTCTGTTCTAGTGCCCCCACCCAAAGCACACACACACACTTTGAAATGGGAATATCGGAAGAGTGGCCTACTTTGCAGGGTTGGTGTGAAGCAAGGGAGTTGGCCACCTCCAGCCCACCTGGGACTTCCACCTGAGAATGCAGAGTTCCTCAAATCGTCACACCCATTTCTCTCCCCTGAAGCTCAGTGACTGACCATAAGAAAGTCAAACCACAGGATCCGCCCCTTTGCCTGAGGCTCAGCCCACTGCCGCCACGCTGCTCCCCAGAGCCGCTCTGAAGTGGAATTTGTCCCCTGGGTCGAAATGGCTTTGGCAGCCTGGCGCAGGGAATACTGAGAGATCTGCTGGAAGGGCTTTGCAATGTTTGGTGGCAAGGGTTTGGAGTCCATGTGCTCACTGGAGTCGCTGCAGTACTTGGGATCCATCAGCCTGGGCACCCACTCGTCCCATGGGAGCCTCGCTGTGCAACTCCGGGTGGGTGTGAGCTGGGGTTTGTTTGTAGGGGGGGAATTTCCGGCTGCTGGCACAAGCGTGAACCAGTGCCTCATTTTCAGCATCCCCCAGAAAATGACCAAAAGGGGCATTTCCGTTGCAAGAGGAGTACCAGACATATTTATTTATTTTATTTATTTTTCTGTTTATATCCTGCCTTTTTCCTACAAAGGGCTCAAGGC